GGGGGGGGGAGGGAGTGCAAGTGGACTGACTTGTCAATGACTCTTGCGAGCGGGATGGGGCGGGGCGGGAGAACGTCTTGGCCGAGCAAACTCACTACTCTTTGGACATGTCATTGACCGTATCCTGCGTAAATCTGGTCCGCATCGCCTTGTCCTGCTTTGCCTTCTGCACAAGATTTCCAACAACTTTTTCCAGCAAGCGTGCGAATCGAGCAATACCTTGCACGATCACTGGCGCTAGTCGCTTGTCCAGATGCGCGCTCGTCTCGTACAGCGCTAGCGAGTTGGACATGTAATCCGTCGGCATGGCTTTGCTCGAGCTGCTTAGCAATGTCAAGCTCAGCAGAGCTGCCAGGGCGAGCAGTCCGGTGAGACGCATCTTTTTTTTGCAACACGAGAGGTGGATGATGCAGGGGCTGGAAGCAAAGATTGAAACGCTGGTCTGGTCTGGTCTGGGCCTGTAGTTGGAGGCCGATTCGAAAGAGATTCTGTTGAAGCAAAGGGGGACTAGACCAGCTAGTTTGTTGGTAAGAATGAAAAGGGGCGGAACGGGCACAAGCAAGGGGGCGACCACTGAGGCCTTGGAGACGAAGGGAAAGGGCGGGAGGAGAGGATGGAAAGAACCTGCTTTCTTGGGGGGGAAAGAGAAAAGGAAAAGGAAATGTGGGAGCAGGGAATGGTGAAGTGATCATCTTATACACAGATCACCCAATGAAGAGCAACGTAGCGCAATCGTGAATGAGCTGCTTCCCGAATTCTCGCCTTGTCCCTCCCTTACTCGTGACTGCTGACTGGATGAGTACTAGACATGAAGCACCAATCACCAATACTACCCTCCCCCCAGCCAGCATCTCGGCGTCGAATCACGAGGTCGGCTATGAAGGATGCGCGGGCCGTACCTGCAACTATGCTCGCACTCACTGTGACTGTTGTGATGACTGCGTCACTCTATGCTCCATGCAAACACAACACTTGAGAGTCCGAATTCTCCGGAGACATGACCGCGCACCTCCTGCGACTTGTTGGTGTGTCGCATATATTGTACAAGTCGTAGTCGATATCGAGCATTGCACGCACGCCTTGCCTTGCCTTGCCTTGCTGCGAATTCAACTGACTTCGAAGCATATGATCGATCAATTGTGAATGAATTCAATTTGACCGCGTGGTTATGCCGCCCTCGAAACGCGCTAATGTGCGGGTGCGGGTGCGGGTGCGGGCGCAGACGTGAGTGAGTGAGCAAGTTTCTTGAGTGTGCGGGCGACTCGCGACTTGTCACGCAACCCGATCGGAGTCCAAAGATTGGTGGAAGTTCGTTCGCGATCGAGCGAAATCACGCATCAGAACCATGCACATGT